CCCCAAAACCCCAAAACCCCAAAACCCCAAAACCCCAAAACCCCACTTCAGCTTAAAATTGTTGTAATTTCAGTAAATTATTTAAATTCTCAATGTCGCAATTGGTTTCCTCTGCTGAGAATATACTGATTCATACCCATGATTCGTCAGAATACAAGGTCAAGATCAAGAACCCTCATCTGTATGGGAAGATAAACCATGTCACATGGAGTCACAACAACCAGGTACTTGCATCGACAGGGGACGACGGCAGAGTAGTCCTCATGAAGTCAGATAATGGCGTCGAGATCACTAGATATGAGATGACGAAGGGCTTTGGCCTTAATTCTCTCTGATTTTCTAATACTAGTCATTATCTGATAGGTGGTTCTAGCGACCACACAGTCAGAGTGTTTGATTTGAAGAACAAAAGCATGTATAAGACCTTTACAGACCACTCTTCAGAAGTTTTGTGAGTATCCTGTAATAATAAAGAGGAAAATCTCAGAATCTGTTCCTCAGGAACAGATGGAATGATTTACATCAATTCATTAGAAAGCTCAAAGGCCTTGGGAAGTTTCCAGCTTAATGAAAGCTCATGTAGATGAGCTATTTTCTCGCCAATGAAATCCAGTGAGTTTGGAAGCGGTCACGATGATGGTTTAATAGCAATTTGGGATTGAAATAAGTCTAGAAAGTCCCATACTTTTGATGAAGCCCATAAAAATGCATGCACGGATATTACATTTTCTCCTGTGAACCACATGCTGATGGGAAGTGTTGGTCTTGATAACCAGATCATCTTCTATGATATTTTTAAGAACAAGCGAATAGTCCAGAGTATTAAGGCAAAGGAGGCCCTTTCATGAATTACTTTCTGAAGGTAAATTTTTGAGTAAACCTATAGCGATGGATACACCATTGGAGTGGGATCGGTAGAAGGCAACATTCTCATCATGGACCTCAGGTAATAATCTTCAATGCCCAAACTTTATGATTAATTTAGGTTTTTATCCAAAAAGACACCGACAGTTCTAAACGGACACGATGGAAAATAATATTACAGCAATCGAGTTCCAGAAGAGCCAGAAATCCAAGTCTAAGAAGGAAACGTCAATGAGCGCCCGTGGGACTGTTGCTCCAAAATCTACGAAATCTAAGCCCATTGAGCCAGAGAGGACCAAATCTGGTAAGAAAATGAAGAACTCCCGCTCAACAATAGCAGTCAGGCAGAGCGACGAAAGCTCTAAAAATAAGGAAGAAGAAAAGAGAAGTCTCCGTGGTACTAAAAAGCAAGGTGATAAGTCAAATTTGAGCAGTAAAGATGTAACCCCAACTTCCCATGTTTCTGAAAGTCGAGAAAACTCTGATAAGAAGAACAAATCTTCGTATAATGGTTCTTCTTACGGTGACAAGATCAAAAGCAGAAGGAGCCCAAAGCAAAGGCAGCAGGAAAAGAAGAGCGAAAATAATCTCAGTGCTTACGCTGAGGAAGCTTCTATTCATTCAAGTGTTGTAAGTAATTCTTCAAGGTTGACAAAGAAATCTGAAGTCCCTGCAATACCCCAGATTAAGGAGAATAATTACTTCGCAAGTGAGGAGATCAGGCCATCCCCTCCACGAGAAAAAGAATTCAGAGATGAGAAGATGGTAGAATACGATGACTTCACAGATAAGCAAAAGAAGTACATCGACAAACTTCTGGAGGAGAAGTTATCAATCCAAAAGGAAAGGATGATGGAGCACTTCCAAAGCCTCCAGCTTGAGATGATCCGTCAGTTCCAAATGCAGTACCTTGAAGTAGGAGATTTGATCGAGCAAGCAGTGGAAGATAAGAAGAAAAGAAACTTCTTTGATAAGTATTGCTAGTTAGATTATAATTAATTCAGACCTAATACATTTTCCCATATTATTGGGGTTTTGGGGTTTTGGGGTTTTGGGGTTTTGGGGTTTTGGGG